CGGGCTCACACCCTGACTTGGCGGCATCAGGAGGAAGCCAGCTAGGGCGGCCAGTGGGGGATCCAGGTGGGCAGGCACAAGCAGTAGAGCTGTCCAGCGCTCTCCCCACTGCTCCCTCTTGCCTGCCTCTTGGCTGAGAAAGCTAGCACTCCCACCTGACTGGGTGCTATTCAGTCCTTCTGCTGTTAGTTGAAATGAGCCTGGTAGCTCTGTGGGGACAGGGATCATCCTGCTGCCCTGACAGGAGCTGGTGGGAATTCAGCAGCCACTCCTGAGATGAACCCCAGCTCTGCCTGTCTGGACCAACACACGTGGGTTCCTTGCTATGATTCTTAGGGACTCCCCAGGCCCCATGATTTCGCTGGCATCTCTCCCTTTCACCTGCATCCTGCAGTAGCCCCTGATTTCTCTTGGTTTTCTTCCCCCTCTCTCTGTCTCTCCTGCTGCCTCAGCCCTACCAGGGCACACGCACAGAAGTTTGTGATCCTTCATCTACCTTTGCAGATGCAGTGGGAGAAAGAGCACGAAAAGCCCAGACTCGGGGGACTGTCACATCCAAAGTCACTTCTGGGTGCCTTGGGGTGGTGCAGGAGTGCTGTTGTGAAAGTTCTGTAAAGCTGTGCATTAAGTACGCTGTCTCTAAGCAGCCAGCCACCATGCAAATAAGTGTAAGCTACCATTTCCTGTCATCCGGCGATCCTTCATGAGCTACACCTGTGTACCAGAAAACAGAGACTTGTGGTTCCGGAGAGAGGGTGCACACGGGCAAACCCCTTGTGCCCAGGAGAGAAGCTTCCTAGAGTCTAAGTGAAGGTCTCAGAAGTGCTGGTTGTGTGAGTCCAGACAACAGGTAGATCAGGGTGGCACCTCGGCCCCTTTCTGCAGAGTCACCTGTGCAGGGCAGCCCGGGAGGAGCGCCATTCTGACCACAGATGCACCCCACCAGAAGACATGTGGACTGCTAGAAGGAGCGCCACCCTGCTCCCGCCAACACAGAGACAGGCGAAAGTGCTCTGTAATTCTTTGTGTTGTAGGGGACACAAAGCCAGCGCAGGGGTCAGATACCAGTCCGATCCCCAGCCCTCAAGGCCCGCCTGAGCAGCAACCAGGAAACACCTGTACCCGGCCTCGGCAACGCTTTCAAGGCTGATTGGGCTGGGCTAGGGCTGTTGTCTTATTTTTCACAAGCCAAATTGTCTCGTGAAGATCTCTGCAATTGCACATGTGCGTGCAGCAGATGAATATTAATGAAATGAAATGATACACCTTCCACTAAAAGTTTATTTGTAGATTTTATTTTCTGCTTACAGGAACATTGACGTTAATGCTCAGGTCTCCGCTGCATTTAAAGTGCCTCTTTAAAGATCTCATTTGCAGTGAATATTCCATTAATGTTGTGCAGTGTTTGGCTTTGTTCCTGTGTCTCGGTTGTTTGCGGAGCTCCCACAATGGGGACAGCAGTGCCTACATAATTGGGCAGCAGGGTGGAATGAGACACGTAGGGCGGAATCTCCAAATGGCACAGGCAAATGGCACAGGAAATTTTCACTCTCACCCTCCCCCAACCACGAAGGACCAATTCTTCGTTGTTGATTATTTTGCTTAAAAATAAAAAATTTTAAAAAAGAATGATGCCTGAGCTTCTTGGAGCTGCAATGAGCAGATGCGACTGGGTCCCCATACACGTGAGCAAGGGAAGAGGTGGCGGGGGGTGTCACCAAGAAGCCCTGCTGTGTGCCCTGCCCTGAAGTTGGGTACCAGAAAGGGCTGTCAGCGCCATCTTCTCCCTGCTGACTCCAAGGAAGGCTCCTTTCCCATCCATCTTGACAAAACAGGACAACAACGCATGCCTAGGGCTGTTTTGTTTTGTTTTGTTTACAGCGCTGGGGGATGAGGCCAGGACCTTTGACTGAGCGACACTCCAGATCTTTTTAAATTATTTTATTTTTAAACGTAGTCTCGCTTTGCCCAGGCTGGGTTCAAACTTTTAATCTTCCTGCCTCAGCCTCCCAGAATGCTGAGATGACAGCCCTGCACCACACTGTGCAGCCCCCTGAGCTGTTTAATTGACAGGCTGCACGACTGATAAATGTGGGGGTCTCCCCCACACCGAACTCTTTCCTTAAGAGCAGTATTGGAAGTGTGATGCTTGTACAATATTTGACAACAAACTCTCGCTGAGTCCAAATAACTCTGAGACACAAACACCACGGAGACTTAAATTCCAGCCCCACCCAGGGCCAAGGCAGCCCTTGATTCGGTAAATCCCTGCACAACCCACGAAGCACTGACCCTTTTACCACCACCCCTAGTGGCCCCAGGTTTCCCGGCGAAGAGCAACAAGCCCCAGTCCGGCTCTGCTCCCAGGTTCTTCTCTGCCTTAACCGTTCAGATCAGTAATCCCATCACTGCTGGAGTCTGAAGGCCTTACATTTTCTATTTTTTCTGTTGATTGCTGGTCAGTGTCTAAGGTTTATTTTTAACATAATGATTTCTGTAAAGAGATTTTTCTGGCTCGTTAGAGATTTTTGGATTTATGATAGATTTAGAGAAACAAGAGAATGTGATTTTACTTAATTTTCTTTCCTTTTTGTAACCAATCTTAATGTAAGACTGTGAGAAAGGTTTCTGGTACCGCATTTGATCCAGTGACCGCCACCTTCATGGAGATAAGAGACCTGGCCAGAATTGGGACTCGGGCTCCCAAAATAATGACGGGGGGTTTCGAGGAAGTAAAGGCAGCTTGAAGAAGGAACAAGGAGACAGAATCAACTAGGGGTGTAACAGGGTGTGCTGTCACTGATGGCTGCTGTGACCTAGGGCACGCTGTCCACCCGTACAGAGCTCTGATTCTCTTGATTGCTGCTCAGTGCGGCCGAAAAATATGGGCAACGTTAAAATAAATTATCACAGTGAAAGACACATTTCCATGAATGCCCCCACAAAACTCCCCCTCAGTTCAAGCATGCCTGTCCCATTGTTTCTGTCACATTCTGAAGCCCCTCTGGACGTCCTTCGGGAAGGTCTTAAGTTGCACTGTCACGACTGACTCCGGGTCCTGACTTGATGCAAAACGCTTACCTTTCACGGTCCTTCTGACTCTGGGGAAAGAGCCAGAAGTCCCGTGGTACTAGGTTGGCTGAATAAGATGGATGGGGACGCAGTAAGTGTTCATGCAAGCCTGCCCTTCTGATGGGTGGCGCGGGGCAGCAGCGCTGGCCATACATTTTCATCATGCCTTGAAAAGACCCTTACGAAAGAGAACTTCCAGAACTTCTGTGGAGCGGCAGGAATGATGGCATAGGAGAGTTCGAAGCACGGGAGAATGTTTCAAGAGGGATTTGTGGCCATGTATGTTTTATTGTAATATTTTGTAAAATTACTCACCATACATTTTGTTCGCCTCCCCTATGTTTTCTCTGTTACTTTAAGTGCAGCTCGCAGTTCCCGTAGGAGCCCCTGGTGCCTCTGAGGAAAGCCCAGGACGCTGTAGTCGCGTCACCCCTCTCCCTGGGCCCTGCATGGCATGTGGTCGCCGGGGAGCTCAACAGTACCTCTGCTGCTACTTCCCAGCTCCCACCTGGCCCTTCTGGCTGAGCCCCAAGGGCAGCCGGCGCCTCTCCTGCCTGAGCCAGGCCAGACACCCTCTCTCCATGTAGCGCCTCCCTGATTCCCTCCCCTGGAGCCTCCCACTGTCCCCAATTCTGGAAGGTCAGAACATTTTGTGGGGGAGAACAGACTTTTCTAATTTTCTTGTTGCCCCGACCTTCTCTTCGGTTGCCAAGGAACCTTCTTTTGTACCTTCTGGAAACTCCTGCCCAGGCACAAGCGTTCTGTCTACCTCTTCCCAACTTTTTGCTCCAGGGTCAGCTTGTGAGGTCCATTCACACTTCCCACCCTCTTCGTCTTACCGTGGGGCACCTGAGCTCAAGGAGATGCTGGGGCCACTAGACCAGGGGACTCCGTGCGAAGATGGTGGCGCAGGCAGGAGATGCTGGCAGGGTCAGGCCCCGGTCCAAGCCACGTGAAAGCACATGAGCAGCAGCCCTCCATTACCTACAGCATCAATTCTGTTCTGTGTTCTCCTTCTACGGCTACTTCTACCTCCCCTGGCCAGGTCCTGTGCTGCCCCATGGCCACCCCACCCCGGCCAGGGCAGGGACGTAGGGGAGGCAACTTCCCTGTCTGCTTCCTCCCCACTGTCTTCTCTGAGGTAGGTCTGGGCCATGCTCCTTCACCCTGAAGCTTCCTGACTGGAATTTGTCCACTTGAAAGGCAGCATTCTGGAGACTTTCAGTCTCTCACACTCACCCTGAAACTGTAACTGATCGTTTGATTTTCAGCAGCCTGATCTTCAAATTTCCTCCCTCCTTGCTTCGCCTCTCCCACTCTGGAAGGAGGACCTGCGCCCAGGCCTGCAGTCAGGGCCACCGCTGGCATGGAACCATGTGCACAGGCTGGTGACTCTCGCCTTCCCCTCCCCTGGCCAGCTCTGCAAGCCCACCTGCAGCAGAGAGCCGGTGACTGGGCCGGAGGGAAGGGCGGTCAGTCTCCACCACTCCCACTTAAGGGTTACACCCTCCATATCCCTAGGCCAGCGCACCTGAGCCTCACAGGTCGATGACAGGGGCAGATCAGTGGTTTGGAATTGAAAAGAGGAAAGCAAAGGAAGGAAAGGAGAAATGGAGGCAGAGAGAGGACAAAACTTTCATTTCCTTTCTGGGTTCATTTTGACATAAATACAAGACACCTCACACACTCCCGTAACCCAATTAAGTATTTATTTGCTGTTAGGAAAATGAATATCTAAATGATATCTATTCACGCTCTTTTCCTGAGTTAAAACATCTGTCTCTGCTTTGGGAGTTGGGATTTTTTTTTCCTTACATTACTTTTTCTCTCTCTTTATGGTCCTCCAGACGGACGCCTGCTCTCAGCATCACGGAGCCAGCTGCAGCTTTGACTCTGCCGGCACCGACTGCACCTCCTGCGCCCCACAGCTGCTGTCTGCCCAGCGTCCCGCCCTGCGGAGAGGTCAGCAGCAGCCGTAGTCACCACTGCAGCACTGAAGAGCTGCCAGGGAGCCGAAAGCTCGGCCGCAGACAGCAACCAGCAAAATGCGGGCCCCTCCTGGCCTCCGACCCCCAAGCCCTCTCCCTGTCCTGCCGCGGGCCAAGAAAGTGAGGGTGCTTGATGCGGCCTGATGGCTGGAAATTGTGTTCTCTTGAGTACAGACTGCAGGCACACCTCTGTGGGGCTGCTTTACCCACAGGACCTGCAGTTTTAATCAGACAGGGAAACTGAGGCATAAAGAGACAAAGTACCTTCCCTGAGGCCACCTTGCCAACGAGAGCTAGGTTCACCTAAGCAAACTCGGTAGATGTGAATATTAAAGCCAAGGAGACCCCTAGTGACCCTAAAGCAGTTCATTAGGAAATAAAGGAGGAGAGGAAGAGAGGGACGTGTGCCCCATCGCGATGGGGCTAGAATCTGCAGCCGGCACTTCATCAGCTCTCAGTCATTTGCAATTCACTGTGTTCTGGTGCTCAGTGGTGACCCAGGTGTTACCTGCTTCTCTTGTGATCCAGCCCTACTGCCTCAGCGGAGCTGAAGCTAAGCTGCGAGAGTCACGGGGTTTGCTCACCTGTGTGGAGATGGCTTCTCCTGGGGACCAAACGGTCCACACTGACACTGCCCACTGTGACACCAGCACCCACGTCCTCCTCTTGTTCCTCAGAGAAGAACTGAAGTTTCCATGCGAGGCTTGATGGATTCTAGCCTGAGCTGTACGTCTCATGGCCTGAATATGTCTGCACAGCAGCACAGAAGGGTGAAATCCATCCTTTCAGCTCGCCCTGGCCAGCTCCTCACGCCACATCGCCCTCTGGGCCTGTGATTAAGGACCACTTAAGAAAATGCTGCCTCCATCGTGAGGCCCTTTGGTGAAGATTTAGGACGGGTCCTTATTGTAATTAACTTGAGCAGATAGCCTATAAGATGGTGACCGATTTCCAGTGGAGTCCAGGGTTTCTCTGTAACATGAAAACAAGGAGAAATTAGAAAAGGAAGTGATCTTTTTGGTTGCCTAGGTAAGTCACTGCGTAAATCAAGTGTCCTAATAAGATGGCCCGCCAATCCGTTGATTTCCAAGGTGCTGCTGACTCTCCCAGGCCCTAAGCTTTCTGATGAAAGCATCAAGCAGTACAGGATGATAAAGTGACTCCTCCAGGGAGGTTAGGAGAAAGTGTGTGGTCTTTCTTAAGCCTTCATGCAAGAGGGTCTGTATTTTGCTGAGTGGGTTTTTTTCCCTCCTTGGAGAGAAAGTGGCAGAACTCCTCCCCGGGTAGAAATGTGACTGCCTTGCTGTATGATTTATGATGGGCTCTTGCTTCCAAAAACTACCTCATAAAACTTGGGGAACATCTGCGTTTTCATCATTGTGTCAAGAGTTTGTGAGAATAACGCATTGAAGTGAGACATTGCGTAGACAGTTATGGAGGGCCTGGCCAAGACCTACCTCTCAAAACGAAGTGGATGTAGTTCCTGCCTTCAGAGAACTTAGAATCCTGTCGTGCTGAGGTAGGGAAGGCCTTGGTCAGTGTCTTAGTTACTCTTGTCTCGTTGCTGGGACAAATACCCGACACACAAAATGAAGGAAGGAAAGGTTTGTTTAGCTCACAGTTACTGGAGGCTTCAGTCCATACTCAGCTGGGTCCAAGGCAGAGCAGCACAGAGCAGAAAGCAACCTTTCATGGCGGCAGCAAAGAGCAAGAGAGCAAGGGAGGGGTAGCAGCCGCTCAAGCAGCTAGCTTCTCTTCCCACCTTACATTGTAATGCAAATTACCTGCCCCAGGGTAGGAGAAGTACTCATACCTATGGGTACTTCCCAGTATTTACCCACCTATGGGTAATCCCAGCAGTACTTAGACCCATAATCCCAGCCTTGGATCACACATAATCCCAGTGGATCATGAATTAACACAAACTCTAGAAGCCCTCACCCCATGACTGCATGAGGCTTTGGGGGGACAACTAGACACAAACCATAACAGTCAGCCATCAGGGCAGGTTCAAAGTCAGAGCAGTGCAGAGTATCCAGGGACACTGATACAGCTCTTTTTGCCCTGCTGATTTTCTATCAGAAGTGCCGGCTCAGCGGTGAGTTTATGGCCCCATCTGCTAAGGTTGGGAGAGGCCAGAAGGAAGAATAGAGATGTCTGCTTTGCATCTTCTTCAGTATGACCTGAAAATGTATGGTTGTAAAAGTAATATAGGTAACTCACCATAACCTTGAGATGGGGAGATGTGTAAGCATCATACCTGAGCTAGAAATACTACAGGAAAAGACTGGCTCGATTATGCCCTCACAAACAGATATGCACACAAGAGACAGCAAAAAAAAATTTTTTTTTTGCAATACATATCACAGATCGTAGGTTATTAGTTTGATTTTTTTTAAACAGATTTAAATCTGGCTTGATTTTGCACTTGGATTCACACCAAGCACTGTCCTGCATCGGTACACCAGTAGCTTACTAGTGCATTTAATCCAGTGATATACACCTGTGAGACTGTCACCAATCAGTGCACAGAGCACAGACGTTATCCTGAGAAGCAGTGTGTGGCACCCTTGCCTACATTCTGAAAGGAGAAAGGATACATACTCCAAGAAAAAACTAGACAAAGCATATCTTCAGGGAATTCAAAAGAAAAAATAAATAAGAATGAAAATGCTCAATGAAATATGAGAGATGTCCAACCCCAATAATTACCAAGAAGGGAAAATGATTATGTATGCAATAAATTTTAGACTCACTGTGTATTATAAATATATATTTGTCATTCATGTACTCTCCACTCCTTGGCAAAGATCAGGGCCCCCACTTCCCATGGTGGTACGGATGGGTAAGGTCATAAGGCCACGTGCCGTCCTGCCTTTGTACCTGACCATCCTAACCCAGGCTGTATGTCAGACCGGCTGCAGTCATTGTCCTTTGTCATTTACACTACTGCAGTCGTGGCCTCACTTGTTAACCTGCTTTCATTCTTGCCTCTGTCCATACACTGTCTCCATTCAGCCACAGTTATCTTTTCACAACACATATATTGTCTGTAAGCCCTGCTTACACCCCTCCTTGCTGTTGGGGGGCTCCCTATGCAGAGTCCTCACCATGGGGTCTGTATGCAGAGTCCTCACCATGGAGGTCCCTATACACAGTCCTCACCCTGGGGGTCCGTATGCAGAGTCCTCACAGTGGGGGTCTGTATGCAGAGTCCTCACCATGGAGGTCCCTATACACAGTCCTCACCATGGGGGTCTATATGCAGAGTCCTCACCATGGAGGTCCCTATACAGAGTCCTCACCCTGGGGGTCTGTATGCAGAGTCCTCACCATGGAGGTCCTTATACAGAGTCCTCACCCTGGAGGTCCCTATACACAGTCCTCACCCTGGGGGTCTGTATGCAGAGTCCTCTCATATCTCGAGCCTCCCCAGCCACAGACCTCCTGATCCACACTCCCACCAGACAAGCTTCCTTCAACTCCCATCCAGCCACACTTAGCTACTATAGGCGAAGCATGGCGCCCTCCCCTGACAGCCTCATGTAGCCCAGTGCTCCTCTGGATGGACAGAATCCATAGACACTATATGTACAGTTATGCCAGGGGATCTATTAGGCAGCACACAAGACGAGAGGTAGAAGAGCCTGCATGACCGTCTGCAGGGTCAGAGGTGGAAGGATTCACAATGACCATCTGTGTCCCGGAGGGTCAGATGATAACGCACAAGCTTCTCAACCCATCAGGAAGGAAGCCACAAGACCAGGGAGATCGGGGCTGCGCACCAGAGCAGTATCTAAGGCCTGGAAGCTCACTGAAGAGTGGCTGCTGAGAGCCTGCCTTGGAGGGCTGAAGAGCCTGGAGGCGGAAGTCCACAGGTGGAGCAGAGACTCCAAAACAAATGGCATGTTCTTCCTTTCCCTCTTTATTCCATCCAGGCTACAATGCTATTGGTTGTTGCCACCCACATCATGGGCAGGTCATCCCCAGTTTGCTGGCCTCCATGTCAGTCATCCACAGACACGCCCAGAACAGTGCCTTCTTAACCCACTAGGCATTTTTTAATACATTCAACTCGACATACCATGACTAACAGTCATGCCTGGCTAACGCTTCCTTAACCTTCAGGACTTACCTGAAGTGCCTCTTCCTCCAGGAAGTGAACTCCCAAGCGGGTGAAATCCTCTTTGTCCTCATAACAGAGCCATGTATCTTTCCTGAGCTTCACACTCGATGCTATCAAGACAGGGCTGCGTCCAAGGTTGCCCTGTCTGTACCCCAAATACCTAGCACAGAGTTCTTGGCACAGACTCCGTTTTCAGTAAATGTAGTTGATTGAATTATCCCTTTTCACAGAGACCAGTTCAACAATATGTATCAACATTTTTAAGATGTATATACCTTGCATGAGAAATCTGCTTCAGGCAGCTTATTTCCTTTTGTTCTGTCACACACACACACACACACACACACACACACACACATACACCTCACACATCATACTCATGCACGTACATGGAACAAGCACTAAGTTTTCCCATTTGTAAACTATCTACACATCCTTATACAATCGGGAAAAAGGCATGAAAACATCTTTATTCTGGGGAGAGAATGTGTGTCAATGTGTCTGAGGTAGGTGGCTTGGAAACAGTTTCCATCAGAGAGACAGGCACCCAGCACCACCAGCACCACTGCTGGGCCGGATCGCTGCCAGATGCAGTGCGAAAGTTCACATTGGAAGGGGCAGCAGCGGCAGCTTGCAGTTGTCAATGGGGCGGTGGAGCCCTTGAGGACAGGGTTCAAGGACATTGTCAGACAGAGGTTAGGAGTCCTGCGGAGGAGGCTGCCAAGGGGCATGATCAGGGCAGAGATTCAGAAGAGAGGCTTGTTATGGTTCCCACACTGTCGCTCGAGGACCTCAGCAGTTCTACATCCCAGGGTTAGAAAGACCCACCCTTACTGCACTAGCACGCTGCGCGCTGTGTCAACTCGAGCCATTTAGAAGGTTAGCCAGGTGATTCAGGAGGGCACAGGGTTCCTCCTCTGTGAACATCCTCAGATTGTGCAGGCACAGGCAGGTAGCAGGCGTATAATATGAGGGGGAAAGAGGCTTGCCCCCCGCGGCCTGGAGCTGTGGCCCCTGGGCCATGGGCCGCCCTCCCCGGGCCATGGGCCGCCCTCCCCTGGGCCAGCTGGTTATGGACTGAAGCCTCCACAACCAGGAGCTAAATAAGCCTTCCCTTCCTAGCTTTGAGTGTTGGGTATTTTGTCTGAACAAGGAGAGAACAGTAACCGAGACAGAACTGCCCCCAGGTAAACAATGCGGGCATCTGGCTGGAGTGCATGGAGGACAGGGAGAAGCCAGCGTGGCTGTGGGCCGCCTCCAGAAATCCCCTGGCTGATAAGAACCCACGTGGAGTTCACACCAAAGGTGACTATGACAGGCCTAAATATAATTATAAGATGGGCGTGGTAGTACAGCCTAGGATCACAGCACTTGGGAGGCTGAAGCAGGAGGATTTTGAGGCCAGCTCAGCCTGCAGAGTGAGTTCAAGGTCATGTCACGTAAGTGAGATCCTGTCTCACCCCCTAAAGGTAAGTATAATTGTAAGAAAACTTCCTAAATGTACAATTGATATACAAAAGGATACACATTTTAGATTTTATAGATATTCTGAAATATCCTCTGTAGAAGTTGTACCTATTTCCATCCCTAAAAATATATGAATGTCTGTTTTTTCACATTTGTCCAAAATACGTGGACAAAAATACACTTAGAAATCTTTGGCTGTAGGGCCAGGAAGATAGCTCAGCAGTCTAAGTGCTTGCTTGGCAAGCGCAAGGGCCTGGGTTCAATGCCTGGTACCACATGCAGTATTTGCCCTGCCCTGAGCTCACCTAGCCAGCCACCAAAACTGATCATGGTGGCTCATACCTGTAATCCAGTGCTGGGGAGGCTGAGACAGGAGGATCACTATGAGTCTGGGCTGCAGAGTGAGACCCTGAACCAAATACATAAATTAAAAATTAAAAAAAAATCTTTGGCTGTAGGTGGACATGTGGTGCACACCTACAATCCAAACACTGAGGCAGGAGGATCACCATAAGCTGAGGATAGTCAGGGTGACATAGTGAGTTCAAGGTTAGTCTGAAGTGTGAAGACCTTGAATCTCTAAGTACCATTTGTAGTCCCTTGTGCCAGCTCTTAGTTCATATTTTTGCCACTTTGTATGTGTTGCTCTTTTCCTGTTGGCTTCTAGAAGCTCTCTATATTTTAACAAATGTACACCTTTATCTGATGTCTTTATTATAAATATTTCCTCTTGGTTGTAATATCTTTTTTGTCTTTTTGTAATAATGCTCCCTACCACACAAAAATATTTGATTTTAAGCTCAAATTTAATAATCTTCTCTTTTATAGCTCTAGCTGGCATTTAATCATGCTTAGAAAGGCCTTCTCTACTCAAAGACTGTTACGATTTTTTTTTTCAATTTTTCTCTAGAACCTTGATGGTTTAACTTTCATCTTAATGGTCCATC